ACTGAGCCACCCAGGCGCCAGTGAAATAGGTTTTATTATCTGCATTTTATATGTGAAGAAATTGAGGTACAGACAGATTAAATTTCCTTGCCCCAGGTCATAAATGACAAGTACCAAAACAGAAGACTTGAATTCATGCAATCTGGTTACAGAGTTCATGTTCTGACCATAACTCTATTCGAAGTTCAATCCTTGAGTGTACATACTGAGTACATACCTGAGTACAAATCAAGTGCTACCAAAAATAAGTAAGACAAAACACTGAGTTAGGTGTGTCAAACCTGGCAATGGAAGCCAGTCAGTGTGACAACACTCTGCCTCACACTTATGTAATACCTACTCTGTGCAAGGCACTGTAAGAAATGTACAGAAATGTAAGAGGCAGCAGGATAAGAAAATGGAACAGTATTTTAGCTTCTATAGGCTTATTATTTTAGCTTTAGTAAACATAATCATTGTTAAATTCAATAATCTATTTCCAAGTAATTGGTAGCACCACTCTTCTTTGTATCTTTCTTAAGTTGCTTTAAAAAAAAAGTGAAAAAAAAAACCACCATACTTGTTTCCTATAACACTGGCTGTGTGAAGGCTTCGTGGGAGTGGCACTGTCCCTTTAGTTTCTGGTTTTGACCAAGACATAGTTTCTAGAAGTAAAAATAAGTATATTAGCAATTTGGTTTAATAATAATAAAGTTACCTCACCTTGCAGAATTTTAAAAAATATAAAAAGGACTTACCAAAAAGAAGCAAAAATGTTTCAAAACCATTACTTGAACTTCATCTTAAAATAAACATTTCCAGCTGACATAAATAGCCAATTACAGTAATCTATTTACAGTTGAATGTTAGCATTTGTAATGGAGAACTGTATTTAGGTGCCACCAATTTTGGATTAAAACCAGATTAGGGATTTTAACATTTTAAGTAAGAAGACACTGTGTAGAAGGTAGTCAAAAGTGAAAGGCACACCTACCCTCCATTCACTCACTCCTAGGATCCCCTTAAAAAGAGCTAGCCACGGTTTTTTCCACTGACCAGCAATAACGTTACTAATGCTACATTTCCTGTGGACAATGTAACCATATAAATTTGATCATCCCCAAGTGGGACACTTTACAGAGTGATAATTGGTACTATTGGTAATTACACAGGACAATAAGCATAAATCAGGGCCTTCTCAGGCAAACCACGACATATGGCGACCCTATTTATAAGGAGCACAGGAGAGTTACTATCATTAATCAAACATTCATTTGTTTAACTTCATTGATCAGCCACCATTTGCATCACATCTCGGCTGTCCCAGAGCTGGCTATAAGTGCCTTCTATAAATCTAACTGTAACTCAATAAATGCTGTAACCAAAAATATTTTTCAAAAGCGATTTTTACATTTGCCTTTATCAATCATAACCAATTCCTGAGCCTGAATCAAGTAAGCTTACCTAAGTCAAGTTGCCATAGATCATCCAGGCGAGCACCACACATTCCACCAAAGACATACATTTTAGGACTTCCAGAATCTTTTTTGCAATATATGACAGCTGTGTGGGATTCTCTTGGAGAAGGCACAATTCCTTTAGTCACTGGAATGCTCCAACCCACAACACCAGAACCATGCTGTAGCTCCAACTCATAGAAATCATTCAAATATCTAGGATATCATGAAATAAATGAAAACATTAATATAATATATACCTTTTGTTTGATTTTTGTTTCTATTTATAAAGATAATCTATGCTTACTGTGAAAAATTCATTTACTACCAAAAAGCATTAGGAGAGCAAAAACCCCATTCCTCATTCTTTTAACATGTAATTATCAAATACTACTGTGTACCAAGTACTCTTCTGGGGATCAGTAATGAACAGAAGAGATTTTTAAAAAATTCCTGCCATCATTTAACCAACACTGTTGTCCACAACAACTGTGATTGTTTCAAAACATAGCTGCAAATTCTGACACTCTTCCCATCAGGACGTAGGATCTACATGTTGGTCCCCACTCGTGATTCTGGGCAAGCCCGTGACTGCTTCGACTAGAGTATGATGAAATGACACTGAGTGACTTCCGAGGCTTGGTCACAGAAGGCTAATGCAGCTTCAGTACAGAACACTTGTTCTTGGAATCCTGAAGCACCGTGTAAGTCAAACTGCCACAAAAACCCCATGTGGAGCGGCACATATAGGCATATAGGAGGACGGCCCCAGTTCAGTCCATCCTTCAGTCATCCCAGTGGAGGCACCAGATATGGGAGTGGCCATTCAAGCCTTCCCATCTCAGGGCCTAGCCATCACTGCTGTGTCCTGTCTGAATTCCTGATGCAGAGAATCCCTGAACATAATAAATCATTGTTATTTTGCATCGCTAACTTTTGGAGGAGTTTATTACATGGTACTAGATAATCAGGACAATCACTACTGGCAATAATTGGTAAATACTCTTTCTGACCTCTCTCTATGAACATCCACATATGTATAAATGAGACATATTACAAATGTTGCTTTGCAACTTTTTTTCTTTTAAAACTTTCACTCTATAATGTCATAGCAGTGCCCTACATAGCTTTTTTTTTTTTAAACTCTACAAACTGGTATTAAACTTTTCATCTGTGACATGATGTTTTCAATGTTTTGAGCAAAATAACTTTTATAGGAATATATTTCCTATCAAATTATTACTCAAATATGAGAGCAAAATTAAAACACTTTAGGACATATAAAACTTCAAAGTTTAGGGGCTCCTGGGTGGCATAGTTGGTTAAGCATCCGATTCCTGATTTCAGCTCAGGTTATGATCTCAGGGTCATGGGATCGGGCCTGCACTGGCCTCTGTGCTCAGCACAGAGTCTGCTTGAGACTCTCTCTCCCTCCGCCCCTCCCCCATCAAATAAATAAATCTTAAAAAAAACTTCAAAGTTTAGCCATAAAATTGTTTTGGGAAAAAACGATTCTAGATGTTATTCCAGAAAAGTAAGAAATCCAGGAAAAATACACTGAATAAGAGAAATGGTAGTACAAAGAAACCAGTAATTTATAATATACTTAAAATGAGGTTTATTTTTTAAGATTTTTAAAAATTTATTTATTTGACAGAGTGAGAGAACACACAAGCAGGGGGAGTGACGGGCAGAGGGAGGAGAAGCAGGCTGACGCGGGGCTCAATCCCAGGACCCCAGAATCATGACAGGAGCTGAAGGCAGACGCTTAACTGACTGAACCACCCAGATGCCCCTAAACTGACCTTTATAAGTATGGTTGTGAGATCTAAATAATCACTAAGAAAGACTGACCAAAAAACTAACTTATTAGCATTATTATAATCTGGAATAAGATTCAAGAATACATGGAAAATGGGCGCCTGGGTGGCTCAGTTGGTTAAGCGACTGCCTTCGGCTCAGGTCATGATCCTGGAGTCCCGGGATCGAGTCCCGCATCGGG